TTACACAATTGATGTATGGATGGATGGTGATAAGAGTTGTATGAGCCCCTAATAAAACGATAAGAAAAATGGAAAATATGCTCGTGAGAAGAAGAGAAAATGCATGCAGAAATCATTGCCACCACGACAGACAACGGGCCTCCTGATTCTCTGACGGTTGGCAGCAAGGGCCATTCCCAAGAACTTCACTGGGAACCTTCCCCCAGCCACCGTCCAGCCCCTGGCTCCCTGTCCCCGAGGCTCCGGAAACATTGAGAGGGAATAGGAGTTGGGTTCCTCAAGTAGAGGCCAAAGCTGCCAGCTTGGAGCAGTGTGAACCCCGCCCCCCCACCCGGAGCCCAGAATCCCTTGGGGGAAGAGTTCCAGAGATGGAAACTCAGCCTTCAGAAGCACGCTGCCCGAATACACTGAGGTGGACGATGCAGCCACTAGCTTCCCCCCTGGATAGTCTGTGACTTAGCAGCAAAGCGTTCCGACCCCTCCTACAGAGGGTTGCTATGGGTGGGAGCGGACTCGAAGGACCAGGGCTGGCGGAAGGGCTAAACTGAGACACCTGTAGAGCACTAAGTGCAGGGAATGGCTCCCTCAGGGGCGGTGTGTGTTGCCGGAAATGAGCACCCGTCAAACGCCTAGCGGGCCAAGCTCCATGCTGGGCTCTTGGAGATTGTCACCCCACTCCGTTCTCATGACCCTGAGGGGCGGTCGAAATGTCATCTCCATTTGACAGCTGAGGGTGTAAAGGAGCCAGGGTCTGATCAACCTGCCTAATGTCAGAGCCCCACCGCCTAGCTCAGGCCTACGCCCTTTCCTAGTGCCCCACAGACTCTCTGTAACTGGGGAACCTGAAACCATCTGAATTTGAAGGCTCCGATCTCAGAAGCCAGCAATGAGACCTGGAGGTTTTCCGTGTGTGTGTGTGTGTGTGTGTGTGTGTATGTCATGTTCCTTCTCAGATATGGACACACACACTACACGTCAGTTCCAGAAGGGGGTGGTGAGGGAGGGTCTTCTCCGTGGAACCCGGTGCAGCCCCTGAAATGGACACCTTCTTTGAGGGCAAGGAGAGTTCTCAGAGAAGAGCCCCTCACAGGCCATTTGCTGCGCCCATCTTGTCACACGGGGCCTTGGATACAGTAGGCATCTGGTGGCGTCTCCAAACACAGGGACAGCCAGTCACCCTACGGCTGCTCTCGGACAGGAGTGACCCCTACGGCTGGCATAACTTTTGTCAGGGCATTGGAAAACCCCTGTGTGCAAAATAAGGGGAAATAGTATTCACCCACTGTGCCCACTGTCTCAGGACTTCAAACCAGCCGTTCTCAACCTGCTGTGTGTGTGTGTGTAGAGAGAGTGCAACTGTGTGTGTGTGTGTGTGTGTGTGTAG